CAGGACAGCGTTTCTTGGCCCATAGAGAGTACCACCGAGTGCGATACTCACAACGACGGTATTCACAACTGCATATATGGTTGGGTCCTTCGCCAGGCTAATTGCCCCCGGTACCTTAGAGCAGTTTGGAGCGGCCTGCGACCGATCCCAAGTGCAGAAGTCGATCATCCAGGGCCGTAGGGGGGCACAAGATTTGCGAAATGCCTCACTTGCTTCATTCTGGCTAAGATACCAAGTACTCATGTTGGGCTTAGCCATCAGATCTGGGTTGACGATCTTTCTCAACGCGTGGCTGGACCCAGCAACATCCTTCGCACGCATGTGACGCCAAGTCTAGCTGATACATGAAATGGGCTGGCCAAGTAAACGCTGGATGCCTCTCCTAAGTTTGTTGCGAGTTGTCCAGTCCATGGGGATGCCATGGAGATATCACGACGGCTTCGTTTCCAGGGCTTCTCGGTCAAAACAGTTATGCAGGCCCTTCTCCTTGGCATTGATCAGGGAAGAGGGGCACGTCACGCACACGCCAACGCCGTGGCAACATAGCATGTATGTAAACATGCCAAGATTCACTGGAGATTTCGGTGGCGCACGAGCATCCAGGTTGAATCGCATTACTAGCAAATTGAGCGCACTGGTGCGGCGGCTGCCGGGAACTATGGGCATCAAGTCCAGGGCATTTTCAGAAGACCACTGGCGACCTTCAGGCGTAGTTCATCTGCTGTATGTGGTACTGGTGGCCGCGGGCTCTGCAAGACTACGTTGTTAGCTATCGAGGCGCCTGGCTCGAATCCTGAAGTCAAGTATCCTCACGATTGTCTCGAGTTCTGGCTCAAGCAATGGTTCCAGTTCCCAGCATTCGCGCGGGGTCCGTCCAGCGCGGCCGCTTGTTGTCGAACGTTTTCGAGAGCTACCAGCCGCACAGAGGGTCCGCCACGTTCGAGTGCATAAGTCTGCAGTTATTGTGTACCTTCTGGAACGGCGGTGGGATCCCCCCCCACACACTTACCATAAGGTGCTGCAACAGCAAGAGGGAACCTTCCCCGGTCGGAGGCTTTCGGGGCTACTCGTTGATGTTGCCGCCGGCGGGGGTTGGTCACGTGCTCGGCGAGCCAGCTCTTCTTCCAAGGTTGTTGTCAGCAATCGTTGCCCCAGGTGCCAGCAGTGTGTGGAGTCCGCGTTCCATCGCATCTGGGAAGGCAAAGCCAATTATTGTCACGCTAGTGATTATGGATCTGATTTCTTACTCAGCCAGCCCAAGTCCAGCATGAGGCCGACGGGGCCTTTTGGCTGAGAGGTCTGCTACCAGCGAACATGGCAGCTACGCCCCCTCCAGCGGAGGATGAGGAGTGGTGGTCGACCGATCCGGAGCGCGTTCACGACGGCTGCCTTGGTGCGGACAGCCAGGATCGACCCGTCTTGCTTTTCGGCGACGCCAGCGAGGAGTGCCCCATGAGCTCGCTCGCCACCATGTCACGTGCGCTTCCTGGGCCTCGGCAGTCGGTGCCGCGTGGTGAGCTGTACATGTTCTTGTGTGCCCTTATGTGGGCTCCGGAGTACCTGATATATGTTACGGACAATCTTTCAGTATTTGACGTTTGGCACGTTGTTCGGGACCAGCTTCCCAGCGGCGAGGGGTCACATGTCCAAGGTGTTGGCAGGCCGATGTCGTGGCCATGTCACAGCGTTGCCCACGAATTCTCAGCTCGAAGCTACTGATGTCGTGAACGGTAAGGGTCAGAGCTGCCTCATCCAAGGGAACACGGGAGCCGACGTCCTTGCCGCTGAAGGGGTTCGGCGCCATCTCGTCCCTCAGGAAGTCAGGTTCAGCGCCGAGGAGGCCGAGCTGAAGGTCTTCTGGGTCAGGATGCGCATCTGGCGTGCATCGGTGGACGCTCTGGCGAAGGAGGAGGAGCTGCAGAGCGAGGGGCGGCTGCAACAGCTGCGACACCGCCGCGGCGCGGGAGCAGCCGAGCAGGCACAGGAGCCAGGAAACGGCAACGGTGAGTCCCTCCCTCCTCCTCTCCCTCTGCCGTTGCCTGCTGCTCCTCCGTCGGCTCCGGCAGCTTCAGATCTTGAGTCCGCTTGCGCGTTGGATGAATCGGGGCGTCGGTGTAGCCGTTGTCGTGGCTCTGCGTCGGGCTCCTTGGTCCGAGCGCTGAGAGGCTCCGAATGTTTTAGATGGATGCCGATTAGATTGACGATTCCTTAAGAGGTCTTACCGGTTGGCGAGGCTACACATCGCTGGAGGGGTGGAACCACCCCTCCCACAATATGCGGTTGCACCAGGACATAGGGGTGTGGTTATGCGCGCGTTGTGGGATGTAGTGGGATCAGCAGCTGTTAGGCGTGGGTGAGGAGTGCCCTAAAGTGGTGACCCCCACTCACCAAGTTTACCTGGACCGCATAGATCGGTGGCCAATCCCCAAGGCTTACAGTAAAGCCGAGTTAGCACGTAGGGCCCACAAGGGGTCCTTTTGAGGCTGTTTACGGACTTCGTCCTGGGACTCCTGACTCCTGACTCCTTCTCCTCCTCTTCCTCCTCCTCCTCCTCCTCCTCCTCCTCCTCCTCCTCCTCCTCCCCCTCCTCTCTCACTCCCTCCCTCCCACCCTCCCTCTCCACCTCCTCCCCCTCTGTCCCTCCCTCCCTCCTACTTACTCCATCCCTCCTTTTCCGTCCCTCCTCATCCTCCTCCTTCCTCCTCCTCCCTCCGTCGGGCTTCTGGGGAGCGTAGAGAGGAGCAGCGCCATCGTGCGAGCCCCCGCCTACGTCCCCTCGGGGCCCATTTCGACCTGGCTGGTCTGGTTATTGTTCGGCATCGATCTCGGCCTGGTCCGACTCAATCCCGAGCTTCTGGCGATCCGATCAGGACCGACGTTTGCACAGTGCTGCCGTGCACCCTGGGGCGGCCGATCCGATTCAGATGCGATGTCGACTCCGCGCCGATGCGGCCGAGTCCGACGCCTTTTCCGAAGCGGTCCGAGAACAAACCGATGTTGAGTGATCTTGGGGTAGTAGTAGGAGGAGGGGGAGGAACAGGAGGAGGAAAAGGAGGAGGAGGAGGAAGGTCGAGCAGGATAAGCAGGGAGGGGGAGGCGGAGGAGGAGGAGGAGGAGGAGGAGGAGGAGGAGGAGGAAGAGGAGGAGGAGGAGGAGGCGGAGGAGAGGAGGAGGAGGAGGAGGAAGAAGAAGAAGAAAAAGAAGAAGAAGAAGAAGAGGGGGGAGGAGCAGGAGGATGAGGAGGAGGAGGAGGAGGAGGAGGAGGAGGGAGAGAAGGAGGAGGAGGAAGAGGAGGAGGAGGAGGAAGAGGATGACGAGGAGGAGGAGGAGGAAGAGGAGGAGGAGGAGGAGGAGGAAGGAGGAGGGAAGGAGGAGGAGGAGGAGGAGAGGAGGAGGAGGAGGGGGAGGAGAGGAGGAGGATGAAGGAGGATGCAGAGGATGACGAGGAGAAGGAGGAGGAGGAGGAGGGGAGGAGAGGAGGAGGAGGAGGAGGAGGAGGAGGAGGAGGAGGGGGAAGTACAAGGGGGGGAGGGGGAGGCAGGAGGAGACAAAACATGGCCGTGAAGGCAGGGTTCTGGTTGAGTCCTGTTTTCCGATCCGATGTTGGCTGGCCTTGCCCCCCTGCGGCAGCGAGGGCCTGGGAGAATGAGGCAATCGGGCCGCCGGGCCGCCGACGCATTGGCCGCCAAGCCCAGGGCCATCATCCCAGAGGAACGGCGGAGAGGGGCGGGAGGGAGGGAGGGGACGGGAGGGAGGGAGGGAGGAGGACAAGTACGAGGGACTGGGAGTAGGAGGATGATGAAGGAGGAGGTCGAGGAAGGGGTGGGCAGGAGGAGGAGGAAGTGGAGGAGCAGGAGGAGAAGGGAGGGATAGAGGAGGGAGGGGGGGTTCGAGAGAGAGCGAGAGAGAGCGATGAGGAGGGAGGGAGGATGAGGGAGGGAGGGAGGGAGGGAGGGAGGGAGGAGAGGGAGAGAGACAGGGAGGGTGGGGTGGGAGGGAGGGAGTGAGAGAGGAGGAGAAGGAGGAGGAGAAGCAGAATGAGGAAGACGGGAGGAGGAGGAGGAGGAGGAGGAGGAGGAGGAGGAGGAGGGAGAGTAGGAGAAGGAGGGGGAGGAGGAGCAGGAGCAGGAGGAGGAGGAGGAGAAGGAGGAGGAGGAGGAGGAGGAGGGGGAGGAGCAGGAGGAGGAGAAGGGGGAGAAGGAGGAGGGCCAGGGTGGGACTTGGCACAGGGGAGGAAGCATCGACCCCTCATCGCCCATTCCCCTCCGCTCGGGCCCTGGGTGCTCCCTCCTGCCCAGGAGCGTGTGGTTTCGCTATCGTGGGCCTGTCGCTGACTGGTCGCCGATCGCCGATTCCACACCATTGTCTCCCCCCCTGAGCCAGTCCCACTTCTCGTTCCTCCTCGGGTCTGGACCCATTTCCCAGGATCGCTGTTTCACCCCGGACCGTCTCCTGTCTCTCGGGGGCCAGCTCCTCGTTCCCATTTCGGGGACGGCGCTGCACTGTATGCCGAATGTGCCATCAAAGGGTCCTCCGCTGCGATAGTTCTTTCGGGTAGGACGAAAGGGGGGTGGGGGATAGGGAAAGGAGGGGGTACGACATCTGCTGCGAGCAGCTGGTTGCGGCTCCGCCGCTGGGCGCCTTCCTCGGTAAGTGGGCGCCCGCGGCGCTGGGAGGCGTTGCGAAATGTATCCCCAGGAGTTGTTGCACGACCCCCTCCTTTCCTCGACGCCCACTTTCGCCCGACCCAGCCCGTCTCCTGCGTCGGCAGCCTCGGTCCTCGGCTGGGGTGTTCGAAGACGCGGCACACCATGGTTCCCGCCAGTGGCCTCGGCCCGTCGCCGATCTCGTGCCCGGGGCCGCTTGAAGGTGACCTTGCTCTCCTGTCCCTTCGCCGCTGTCCTCGACGTGCTCGCCCTGGCTGGAGCTGTCGCAGCGCGAGGAAGCCGTTGGCCCCCCGGGCCCCGCCTGGCTGCCCGCGAGCCCCCCCGGGCGCTCAGGCCGACTGCCGGCCCACCGCGGCCGCGGCGCTGCAGCACCCCTGGCTGAGGCGTGTCGCGCGTGGCACGGCCGCCGTCGTCGCCGTCGGCGTCGGCGTTGCCAACGTCGTCGGCGGCGTCTTCGTCGGCGTCGTCGCCGCTTGCGTCGCAAAGGAGTCGAGTCGCTGTCGGCGTCGTTGTGGCGGTCGTCGCCGTCTGCATCGCCGTCGCGTTCGCCGTCGTCGCCGTCGTCGCTGCCGCCGTCGCCAAGGTCGCCGCCACCAACATTGCTGTCCCCAACGTCGCCGTCGGCGCCGTCCGAGACATCACACGATGTCTTCAGCCGCGTCGTTTTTCTTTAGTTTGGACTTTGAGGGCCGCTTCCAGTCCACGCGGCAATCAAGGCCGGAATGAAACGCAATCCGGGAAGAGATCGGGATATTTGTGGCCGCGCATTGACGGCCAAATTTATCGTCGTATGTGTTGGATTGTGACGGTCGTCGCGGTCGGTGTTGTCGTCGTCGAAGTTCTCTCGCCAGAGGACGAGGAGGAAGAGGAGGAGGAGGAGGAGGAGGAGGAAGAGGAAGAGGAGAAAAAAGAGGCGGGAGGGCGACGACGACGAAAAAGGGGATGTCGAGGGGTGGGCGCCAGAGGACGCAAAAGGGGGAGATCGAGACGCAGAGGTGGGGCGGAGGGGGAGGGATGGCAAGGAGGTCGAAGAAGGAGGGGGAGGAGGAGCAGGGGACTCGAGTGGGGAGGATATGACATGTGGAAGAGGGTGGAGGGGATGCCCGGGGGTATGGATGGATGGAGGACGCTGGACGATGGGGGGGAGGCGGCGGCGGAGGACGCTGGCGGTGTCTTGAACGGTGGGAGGGAGCAAGGAGACAACGGAGGGAGGGAAGAGGGAAGAGGGATAGCGGAAATGGACAAGCTAGGTGCGCTCGCGCCTCATCTGACATCCTATCCCTCTCTGCCATTCCTTCCCATTGCGCCGACCTGCGACTCCCACAGAAAGGCCACATCGTGTCATGTGCAATCGGAGAAAGGGGAGCTGCATGCACAGGAGGAGGAGGTGATTGTGGATGAGCAGGAGGATGAGCCGGAGGAAAAATAGAATGACGAACAGCAGCAGCAGGAACAAAAACGAAAGGGTAGGGAGGACAGAGAAGACCAGAGGAATGCGGAGGAGGGGAAATGAGGGGGGCGACAGCGATGAAGAAAGGCTCAGATTCAACAAAGTGGCCCGCGTTGGAGCGAGACGAACAGCAGCAGCAGGAATTGGAGTGAAAGGAGCAGGAGGAACTGGAACACCAGGGGAAGGCGGAGGAGGGAAAATGTGTGGGGGTGATCTCGCTTGCCTGCTCTTGCTTGCCCTTGCTTGCTTGCACTTGATCGCTGGCTCTTGCTTGCTTGTTTTTGCTCGCTTGCGCTTGCTTGCTTCCGCTTGCTTGCTTCGGCTTGCTTGTTTGTTTGCGCTTGCTTGATTTTGCTCCTCCCGTTTTGCTCCCGTCCTCCTTTCGTCCTTCTCCTATCCTCCTCTCGTCCTTCTCCTGTCCTCGTATCTATTTTGAGTCAACGCTGGCTGATATGATGGGAGGAGGGGGAGGAGGAGGGAGGAAGGAGGAGAACGCGGGGACCGTCTCTTCAAAACGAGGACCCAACACAGGATGGTCCAGAAAAAACACTAGAGTGTGAATGCTGGCACGTCCCCCATCTCCGAAATTCTTCTGGAGCCATAGCTTTGTAGTGTAATTTTTAACCATAAATAAGAGGAAGCGTTGCTTTGTCTGTGTTGTTGTTCCCCAATGTTTTGTTTCAGCGTTTTCGAGGTACTCAGAAAATTACACAAACGCCCAGGCCTGTATTGTGCCTGGCGCCTCTCCCGCACCTGCCCTCCACCCACCGGGATATGCAACGCTCTCATGAATCCTATTGTTTGCTTGCTCCTCCCCGAGGGGTTAGGAGGTTGCCAGACGGCGTTGGAAGACGAGTTGCCGTCCCGAGTTGGCCAGGAAAGTAGGCACCCAACAGTGCGATGGTAGAATGTGCGCATCGCAGACGGGTCAGCAAAACTCGCCACCTCCTCCGTCGGCGCTTCCACACACCCATCCACATCGTCCTAATCCTCCTCCTGCTCCTCTCCCTCAGCAGTTATCTATCTATCTCTCTCCTCCTACGGCGACGAAGACGACGACGCCGACGACCAAGGGACGACCACGACAACCAAGACGACGACACCGCCGACGACTACGACCAAGACCGAAACCAACACACAGACAAAGGCCAAGACCAAGACTAAGAAGACGACGACGACGACGACGACGACGACGACGACGACGACGACGACAACGACGGGTGCGGCGTCGGCGGCGATGACGACGACGGCCGGCGACCACATCGAAGACGACCGCGACGACCTCCACGACCGCGGCGGCGGCGTTGGCGACGGCCGCCGCGACGACGGCGCCGCGCCGCCCCCCCCGCGGGAGCCCCCAGGGGGTTCTCCGACGTGCAGAGCGTTCGGAGCGGCGTCGGCGGTGAGGCGAGTGCCGCCGCTGCCCTCGCCGTTGCTGCCCACGCTGCTGCGCACGTAATCCTAGACATGTCCTCCCTTCTCCCCCCTCCTCTTCCCTCCTCTTCCTTCTCCACCTCCTCCTCCTCCTCCTCCTCCCTCCTCCTCCTCCTCCTTCTTCTCCTCCTCCCCCTCCTCCTCCTGTTCCTCCTGTTCCTCCTCCTCCTCCTCCTCCTCTTCCTCCTCCTCCTCCTGCTCCTCCTCCTCCTCCCCCTCCTTCCCCTCCTCTTCCTCCTCCTCCTCCTCCTCCTCCTCATGCCCCTCCTCCTCCTCCTCCTCCTCCTCCTCCTCCTCCTCCTCCTCTCCCTCCTCCCCCCTCCTCCTCCTTCTCCTCCTCCTCCTCCTCCTCCTCCTCCTCTTCCTCCTCCTCCTCCCCTTCCTTCTTCCTTTCTTTCTCCTTGTGCTCCTCCTTCTCCTTCGCGACCATAGATGAGCTCTTCTCGTTTCAATCCTCCCGAATTCCCCGTCTCATATGCGCGCCCACGCGCCATCGCGCAAGCGAGCTCGCCACCGCGCGCGCGGCCCCGCGCTGCCGATCAGGGGCAACGCAAGGGAGGGAAGATGCGCTCGAGGTTCGAGATTCGCGGTTTTCGGGCGTTCCCGTCGGTTCTCGGTGGTCTTCCAGCCTCGGGGTGCGTTCCAGCAGCCGCGCCTCTGATCTGAACACCAGGGGGAACGCGTCGACACCCAATCGCTCACTCATCGCCGACATGGGCCCGACAGCCCAACCCCTCAGGAACGTGCGGGTGTGTTCCCAGGGAGTCTTTGAGCCATCCAGAAATAGTTCTGAAGAGTGGCGTGCGGCTGGCGCCTAAGCTGCCTGAACTACGGGTCCCCAGGGGCCGTCGCAACCACTGGCCTGAGCAGAATCGGCGACCAGCCTCAAGGGAGCGATGTAAATCAGCAGGGGGGGGGGATTGCCCCCCCTCGCTTCCCAGCCCACGAAAAGCAAGGAAGGAGGAGGGGTGACCAGGGAGGGCGGAGGGAGGGAAGGAGAGACTACGACGACAAGGGAGATTGGGTGAAGGGAGGACGGAGGAGGGAGGAGGGAGGAGGGAGGGCGGGCGAGTGAGGTTGGAGGAGCGGGGGGGGGGTAGATGGAGGTGCGGGGGCGGAGGGAGGATGGAGGAGAGGGGAACCGAAGGTTTCGCCCGCGCGGCCTCTCTCGCGCCCCCCCCCCCAAGCGGGCATCGGCAGTGGGCCTCCAGAGGCGTGGGAATCCCAAGCCCCAGCATTGTTCTGACGGGCCTCTGGGGCATTCTGACGGTCCCCGGGCATTCCGACGGTCCCCCCAGGCTTTCTGACGGTTCCCCGGGTCATTTTGACGGTCCCCAGCTTCTTGTTGTAATGTCTCTAGCGGGAGCCTTTTCCATTTTGACGGTCGACTGGGTCATTTTGACGGTAGCCAAATCGTTATGATGGTAGGTTTCCCACCAGGTTCTTGTCCCTTGAGAGATCCCACCGGCTAGACGCCCAGTCGAGTTGAGATCTACGGGGATCTGCAATGCCGACAGATCAACGTTCGTGAGTACTAGCGAACGCTTCTGATTTGAAAGAACACAGAATATGTTATGTTTCCGAGGAATGCCTCCGGGAAACAAAACACATTGAAAGGGCAAGCAACTGTTCATTTTCCTGGGATGCAACACGCAGACTCTGCTCCACTAATCGTTGGGGGTTCGAGGTCTGGGCCTGTCAGTGTTAGACCATGAGCCAGGTCTGGCCTTTCTGAAATTACTGGTCAAGCATCTCTGGTCTGTCTTCAACTTGCTCGATTGCATTGCGATCAATGAATTCCGCTGCTTTCATTGTATGACCCGCACTCGAAATCCCCCCCTCCTTTTGCTCAGCCCCCTTTCTGAAGACACCCGGCTGTAGAAGGGGGAGGGGAGGAGGAGAGGCACGGGGGGCCGGGGCTTGTGGGCCACAGCGAGCGCTGATCCACGAACGGGCGCACGGAGCGGAAAGGCGGGGAGCGGGACGGGGCAGGGTGGAGGCTGTCCTGGTTGGCCCCTGGAGGTCTCCTCACCTCGGGGTGTTCTCCAGCAGCTGCGCCTCGCCGAGGGCTCTCCAGAAGGACCCAGATCGTCCTGAACGGCCGCCAGATGCCCCGGGAACCACCTGGCGTCGAGGGAGGGGGGGTTGAGGGCTACAGGGGCGTGTGGATCAATGTCCAGGCCGGGGCCATGATTTATCCCAGAGCCGCGGAGCCCGATTTTCCCCACGCCGAGGGCGCCGATGCATCGGCGATGCGGCGCGATCCTTTGACCCCATCTATTTGGACCCCATTCGGAAGGCGTCTACTGAAGCGATCACATCGCCAGAGATGGAGGGGGCAGCAGGACCACGGTCATCAGCGAGGAGCGATCGCAGGAGCGGGCGATGAGGATCGCGGCGACGAGCCGGTGCACAGAGGATCGGGGAAGACGATGGTGACGACGACGACTACGACGACGAGCCTGTGCGCAGAGGATCGGGGAGGACGCATGAGCACGCGCCATGCAGGCTGCAGGCGCGTCGAGAGCCCAGACAGCCGATCGGGGTCCAAGACGCGCTGGCGCCGCAGAGCGTCGACGCGTCATGTTTACCACGTTCCAAAAACACAGTTTCTTGAGTTCATACTTTCTGGATTCAAGGAATCTGTTTCTGGATGTCAAGAAACGTTTTTGTTCAGCCGGGTGTCCTCGCAAGGCCCGACGCGTCCCGCAGGGCCGGTTTTACGTCCCGAGCTGTTTCCTGGCGTCCCAGGGGCGCGGCGAAGGACCCCCCCCATGAGGCCGAGCACGGCCACACGCTTTCCGTAGCGATTCTCCCCCCACGCGGGAAATTCGAGGATCCCACGAGGGCGCGAAGTTATTCGCGCTTCGCGACTCGCAGTCCTCATTCCTCCTCCCCCTCCTCTTCCTTCGTCTTCCTCTCCTCCCCTTGGGCGGGCGGCGCGAGAGCGCGAAGTCCTCGTGCTTCGCGCAGCGCGAAGCGCGAGGCGCCCTTCCAAGTTGCCACACCAGGAAAAAGCACAGGGAGACCTAGACCCCGTCAGATCTGCGGCACTTTTAGGGCCGCAGCGACTTGTGGTGGCCCTGGGGCCCGAGGCTGGGCGAGTAGGCCCGACGTGGACAAAGTTTACAAAATCCGGGAGCCTTGAGACGGGGGTCGATGCAAACGGGGGTCAGCCAGAGCGCCCGACCTTGCAGGATCCTGCAGGGCCAGGGTCGCATTGAGCCGGGCTTGGGTGCAGGATCTTGCAGGATCTTGCAGGATCCTTCGCATTGACCTGGGCTTGGGTGCAGGATCTTGCAGGATTCTGCAAGGCCTGACTGACCGGGGTCTGGATTGATCCGGGTCAGAAGATCCCCGAAAAGTTGACACGGGCGGGCAGCGCGGCCTCCGACAAGCCGGCGCTCCGCGGAGGCAGCCTCGGGGCCTGGCGAGGGCCCCCAGAGCCCGAAAACGGGCCATAGCCTTCCGTCGCGATTTTCTCACGACGCGGGCCATGCGGTGTCCCGATTTTGAAATCCGCGGTCCCTGGAAGTCCCGACCCTTTCCCATGGGCCCCTAGTCGTCTAAGGTCCGTTTTGTTGACGGTCCCGGGCTAGGAACGTGCCTCCAAAGGCCGAACGTTAGGAAAAACCGTTGTCTTGATTTTTCAAGACGTGCCCCCGAGTTCCGCCCGAGAAGTTTGATCGCTCAGAACAGAGGGAAACCCTGGGATACACCCCAAGGGGGCTATTCGGACGCACCCCATTGAGGATGGACGCCCGCTCATCGTATATCCCAGGGTTGGGCCAAATTTCTTGTCCATTCGAAAAACCCACGAAGCCTGGGATACAGTCATCGTGCAGTAAGGATGAGCAACTTTCCAAGGTTACCTTTGCATCCTTACCCTTCGGCCCATCCTTGGCCATTTTCGCTGGCCGCGCCCCGCTCGCAAAGGGGCGACATGACCTTCCGAGGCCCTTGCATCCTTATCGTGCGTCCTTATTATACGGGGTGACTGTAGGGGTCGACATGTCCCTTGTCAAGCGGACGTCGCCGATGCATCGCCGACGTGACCGATGCATCGCTGGTTCATCGCCAATGCATCGCCGATGTATCGCCGATGCGGCGCGATCCTCCGACCCCATCTACTCCTACCCCATCTAGGAGGCCTCTTGTTAAGCCTGTCTGCGCCTCGGAGTCAAACATCGATCCCAGGGCCGGCTCCGGGAGAGCGTTCTGGCCAGCATCTCGAGGCGGAGGCCCAACAACCCGAGAGGAGGGACCCTCCACCCCCGCTTGTTTTGGCCCCTGTTTGCGGTCTCTGCGCTGTCCTCCTCTCTGTCATCCTCCTGTTCCTCCTCTTCCTCCTCTTCCTCCTCTTCCTCCTCTTCCTCCTCCTCCTCCTCGCAAACGAGGAGAAGGCACCGATTTCGCTTCCCTTCTATCGTGTTCCCCTTTTCTGGGCGGCCTCCTGAGAGGCCCTCGCCGCCACGGCTGGACTCGTCCCAGAATCCTGGTCAGAGCGCATCACGGGAGAGGTCCGGGTAGCAGCGGTATTGGTAATTGCCTTTTGGTTTCCCCATCCTCCTCCGCCTCCTGTTTCGGCTTCCTCCGCTGCAGATTGCGGTGACAAGTTCATGGGGGTCAGGCTCTCCGGATTCGGTGATCTTCGCGGCTCTGTGGCCTCCTCCCTCCTCGATGATTCTGGTCCTTTTTCTTCTCCCTAGTTCTCGCTATCCTCTGCCTCCCGCTGACCCCTGCGCTCGTGGGGTCGTCGGGGACTTTTTCTGGAGCTGACGTGCCTTGTGCGAAACGATTGGGGATCCTCGGGGGTGTGCCTATTTATTTACTGATGTGTCCCTGGGCCCCTTGATTTTCGCGGGGGGGAAAGTCGGATCCTCCACGCCCGGACTTTCGAGAGGGAGCGGCCTCCCACGCGGCGGCGCTCCGCGGCCGGCCGGCGCTGCTCCGAGCGCGGCGGCGGGGCAGCGCCTCTGCGACAGCGGGCGGCGGGGCGCAGCGGCTGCAGCCGGCCTCGGCCTCGGCCGCGGGGGGCGCCGCCGGGCTGCCGCGGCGAGGCGGCCAGGAGCAGGGACTGGGCCCTCGGGGGGGGAGGAGGAGGAGGAGGAGGAGGAGGAGGAGGAGGAGGAGGAGGAGGAGGAGGAGGACCAGGAGGAGGAGGGGGAAGGGGAGGAGGGGGAGGATCATCACGCGGCTGACGAAGGCTAAGGGTTGACCGACCCGACCCTGACCCAAAGCCTTGTGGCTCCAAGCCATCGATCTCTCCACCGCGGTTACCTCATCGCGGCGAGCCTCCCGATCTGAAGCCAGCGACTCATGGTGGACGTCTGAGGCGCGAGCTTGGGCAGTTTGAGCTGTCTGTTTATAAAACTATGCCAAGGGGACGGGATCTGAACATCAAAGAGGCGCGAAGCAACACCACTGTTCGGGGGGCTCAGCTTGCACTCTCCTGACAGACCTGATCCGCGCTCGGCACATGCACAACATCTCTTGCAAGGATGGGGGTTCTCGAGCTGTCGCTTGATTCTGTCGAACGAAAATTGTGGCCTCTGGGGTCCTCCGCAAGGCAGGCCATGGCGTTACGGTACCCAGGGCACGCTTCATTGGCTCTGGCTATCTGGTGACTGGCAGACTTTGCTCTGACTTGACAGACTGTGCAAAGCCAGTGGACTCGAACGTACCCCCAGTTGTGGACCGCTCCCTGGCTTTGCTCCACGGTCCCGAGAGCATCCGACGAGAACGCAGGGAGAGGAAGAGGCCCAGGAGGACGGTTCCCAGGGTTCCACGTGTGGGGAGCGGAAGCGGCACCCACGGGAGGGTTTTTGCTGTCAGGTGCGTTGGTGCCTTTCTCCCCTTTCGTTGGGGCGAGGGCAGGCCGTCTGGGCAAAGCAGTGGCGAGATTCTTAAGGAATCTGCGCAGCATCTTAGTGTCGTACTAGTGAAACTCCAGCTCCGTTCCATCTGGTCTGCAGAAAAACTGAGCTGCCTGCTTGGCGGCCTTGTCGGTCGCCTCTTTACCTACCGTAAACTCGCTGCGTTCGCGATTCGAATTCCCCTTGGAGGTCTTGGTGGGCTCTGAGTTTGACCAGGACCGATCCAGGGGTGCGGAGGCTAGCGCCAGCTAAAATTCTAAAGATCGGCATGGCGTCCCTCCTTGGGAAGGCTGTCTGGGCATTTAGCTTGATAGCAGCCTGGTAGTCACAGCGCACATGGGACACGAAGGAGGAGGCGGGGCAGGCGGCAAGGGCAGTTAGGTGTTTGGCTGCTGCTGAGGTCCGCTGAAACAAACTGCCGATTCTGCCTTGAATTGTGGCGTATACTTGATTCCCCTCTCATGGACCAGCGAATCCTGCTCCTCTGTACGCGGTGTGGACGCTGGGATCACAGCTTCCGTCATTGAAACCGCGGCCTGGAAAAATGTCCTGCATGCTGAAGCTGGGGTCCTGATACCAAAACTCCACATGCTCGAGCCTCGTGCCAGGGTGTGGGTTGACGTTGAAATTTGGCTCCGTCTGGACGCCATACTTGACAAACGGATTACGATAGCGATCCCGAAGCAAATCTAGATCGTCGGCATTGAGAAATGATTTCTCTCTGGTTGCGAAATCGGGCAGCCAACAACTCGAGGCTGAATTCAGTCGAAGGGTGCACCGCTGATACAGTCACAACTGATGCCGTATCCTGCATCGCGTGCACGGGCCTTGGTCCATCAGCTCTGCGTTAAATAATTTAGCAGGCATCCTTTCTCTTACGTGGTGAGGTGGGGGGCTAGCCAGCACAGCCTTGGCGACACTAGCATCAACTTTGGACCCTGGGTGGCCGAGCTTGGTCGCGGCTTGCTCGCTCAACATAGTCTCCCAGTCTAGCTTCATTTTGTGATGGATCAGAGCTGGCGAGAAGCTTGTTTAAAGGGCTACTGCTGCCCATCCCGGCCGGTGAAAACTGGTGGGGAGGCCAGACTCCAACCAATGCGTTTGAGCGGCAGAACCATTGCCCCAAAAGGGCTTCCAACCCCAGCCCAGCGCGACGGAGTAGAGCCCATGAGGCCCGAACCCTTGGCTTTCAGTGCGCATAGCGAAACCAGGGCCTGGGTCGAATCGGTAGCGGCCGTCCACACAAGCATGCGCCACAGATAAGCTGGTCCTACTGCTGCCTTCCAGGACGGGTCCCCAAGGAGGATTAAACAAAGGGTCCTGCTTCTAGTGGGGCAGCTGAGGCCTGCTATCTTGAAATACTGTTGCTGCGCTACTGCTAGCTTTGTATCGTTCAGGCCACTGTATGCCCAAACATCGTCGCTGCGTAGATGCATGCTTTGTAAACGTGGCTTACCTCGGCGGAGCAACTGGACCGAGGCCGCGGAGCAACTGAAACCAAGCGGCGGAGCAACTGACACCAAGCGGAGGAGCGGCGGAGCAACTGAGCCAGTTGTTGGCCCAGTTGCTCCGCCCGCCCATCTCAGTTGCTCCGCCCGCCCCCCGTCCCCCCTGCGCCTCTGGGGCAGTCTCAGTTGCACCTGGGGTGGTTGCAGTTGCCGCAACAGAACCCAAGCGGCGAAGGGCGTGGAGGAGGGGGAGGAGGCGGAGGAGCGGAACGGGAGAGGAGGAGGAGGAGGAGGAGGAGGAGGAGGAGGAGGAGGAGGAGGAGGAGGAGGAGGAGGAGGAGGGGGTGGAGGAGGGCTATCGGAAGCGAGCAGGCGAGAACGCAAATAACATTGACTTTCTATGGGTGTTTGAAAGTTTTTGGCTTCTTGAGCCTCCTTGGGAAGTTTTTTGGACTCCTGGAGCCGTCTCGGGACGGTCTTGGGCCCTGTTGGAGCGTCTTCGGGGCCATATTGAGGAATCTTGCGCCATCTTGGGCGAAACAGTACCCCCTGGCACCTCGCGGGGCGCCTCTTGGGCCCGTCTTGGGGTGCCTCTGGGCCCCCTCCGAGGGCCCTGGGAAGGGTGCAAGGGGGCCCCTAGAGGGCTCCCAGAGGCCCCAAAGGGGGCTCCAAGAGGCCCCGAAGAGGGCCCAGAAGTACATTATAAAACAAGCTGTTTTTATAAGCTGGCCTGGTGCCCTCTTGGGCCCGTCTTGGGGCGCCTTTGAGCCCCCCCCCGAACGCCATGGGAAGAGTCGAAGAGGGCCCCTACAGGGCTCCCAGAGGCCCCAAGAGGGCTCCAAGAGGCCTCCGAAAGGGTCCAGGAGTACGTTATAAAACAGGCTATTTTTATAAGCTGTCCTGGGGCCCTCTTGGGCCCGTCTTGGGGCGCCTTTGGGCCCCTCCGAACGCCCTGGCACGGGTCCAAGAGGGCCCCTACAGGGCTGCAGGGGGCCCCCAAGAAGGCTCCAAGAGGCTCCCAAGAAGGCCCCGCAGTACCTTACAAAACAAGCTGTTTTTATAAGCTGTCCTGGGGCCCTCTTAGGCCCGTCTTGGGGCGCCTCTGGGCCTCTCGGAAGGATATGGGAAGGGTCCAGGAGGGCCCCTAACGGGCGGGTCGGGTCGGGCCGGGCGGGACATTAAAGTATGGTGCATCGCCGAGTTGGCACGCGAGTACCCTAACGGGCGGGTCGGGTCGGGTCGGGCGGGCGGACCCTAACGGGCGGGTCGGGTCGGGTCGGGCGGGACATTAAAGTATGGTGCGTCACCGAGTTGGCACGCGAGTGCCCTAACGGGCGGGTCGGGTCGGGTCGGGCGGGCGGACCCTAACGGGCGGGTCGGGTCGGGCCGGGCGGGACATTAAAGTATGGTGCATCATCGAGTTGGCACGCGAGTACCCTGACGGGCGGGTCGGGTCGGGTCGGGCGGGACATTAAAGTATGGTGCATCACCGAGTTGGCACGCGAGTGCCCTAACGGGCGGGACGGGTCGGGTCGGGCGGGCGGACCCTAACGGGCGGGGCGGGTCGGGTCGGGCGGGACATTAAAGTATGATGCATCATCGAGTTGGCACACGAGTACCCTAACAGGCGGGACGGATCGGGTCGGGCGGGCAGACCCTAACGGGCGGGACGGGTCGGTTCGGGCGGGCGGACCCTAACGGGCGGGACGGGTCGGGTCGGGCGGGCGGTCCCTAACGGGCGGGTCGGGTCGGGTCGGGCAGGACATTAAAGTATGATGCGACATCGAGTTGGCACGCGAGTACCCTAACGGGCGGAACGGGTCGGGACGGGCGGGCAGACCCTAACGGGCGGGTCGGGTCGGGTCGGGCGGGCGGGCCCGAACGGGAGGGTCGGGTCGGGCCGGGCGGGACATTAAAGTATGGTGCATCGCCGAGTTGGCACGCGAGTGCCCTAACGGGCGGGTCGGGTCGGGTCGGGCGGGCGGACCCTCACGGGCAGGTCGGGTCGGGTCGGGCGGGACATTAAAGTATGTTGCATCACAGAGTTGGCACGCGAGTACCCTAACGGGCGGGACGGGTCGGGTCGGGCGGGCGGACCCTAACGGGCGGGCCGGGTCCGACCCTAACGGGCGGGTCGGGTCGGGTCGGGTCGGGCGGGACATTAAAATATGATGCATCATCGAATTGGCACGCGAGTACCCTAGCGGGACGGGTCGGGTCGGGTCGGGCGGGCGGACCCTAACGGGCGGGTCGGGTCGGTTCGGGCGCGGGCGGGTCGGGTCGGGTCGGGCGGGACATTAAAGTATGGTGCATCATCGAGTTGGCACGCGAGTCCCTAACAGGCGGGTCGGGTCGGGTCGGGCGGGCAGACCCTAACGGGCGGGACGGGTCGGGTCGGGCGGGCAGACCCTAACGGGCGGGACGGGTCGGGTCGGGCGGGCGGTCCCTAACGGGCGGGTCGGGTCGGGTCGGGCAGGACATTAAAGTATAATGCGACATCGAGTTGGCACGCGAGTACTTTAACGGGCGGGACGGGTCGGGTCGGGCGGGCGGACCCTAACGGGCGGGTCGGGTCGGGTCGGGCGGGCGGACCCTAACGGGAGGGTCGGGTCGGGCCGGGCGGGACATTAAAGTATGGTGCATCGCCGAGTTGGCACGCGAGTACCCTAACGGGCGGGTCGGGTCGGGTCGGGCGGGCGGACCCTCACGGGCGGGTCGGGTCGGGCGGGGCATTTAAAGTATGG